TGTTTAGACAGAGATATGGATCTATCTATTTATCTATACGGTTGGCAAGCATGTTTAGACAGAGATATGATCTATCTATTTATCTATCGGTATCATCCTATTTATCTATACGGTTGGCAAGCATGTTTAGACAGAGATATGGATCTATCTATTTATCTATCGGTCGGCAAGCATGTTTAGACACAGATATGATCTATCTATTTATCTAATCCGGTCGGCAAGCATGTTTAGACAGAGATATGAATCTATCTATTTATCTATACGGTCGGCAAGCATGTTTAGACAGAGATATGGATCTATCTATTTATCTATCGGTCGGCAAGCATGTTTAGACAGAGATATGAATCTATCTATTTATCTATCGGTCGGCAAGCATGTTTAGACAGAGATATGGATCTATCTATTTATCTAACGGTCGGCAAGCATGTTTTAGACAGAGATATGAATCTATCTATTTATCTATACGGTCGGCAAGCATGTTTAGACAGAGATATGGATCTATCTATTTATCTATACGGTCGGCAAGCATGTTTAGACAGAGATATGAATCTATCTATTTATCTATCCGGTCGGCAAGCATGTTTAGACAGAGATATGGATCTATCTATTTATCTATCCGGTCGGCAAGCATGTTAGACAGAGATATGATCTATCTATTTATTATGGCAAGCATGTTTAGACAGAGATATGAATCTGTCTATTTATCTATCCGGTCGGCAAGCATTTTAGACAGAGATATGGATCTATCTATTATCTATCCGGTCGGCAAGCATGTTTAGACAGAGATATGAATCTATCTATTTTATCTATCCGGTCGGCAAGCATGTTTAGACAGAGAGATATGATCTATCTATTTATCTATACGGTCGGCAAGCATGTTTAGACAGAGATATGAATCTATCTATTTATCTATACGGTCGGCAAGCATGTTTAGACAGAGATATGGATCTATCTATTTATCTATACGGTCGGCAAGCATGTTTAGACAGAGATATGGATCTATCTATTTATCTATACGGTCGGCAAGCATGTTTAGACAGAGATATGAATCTATCTATTTATCTATAGACAGAGATATGATCTATAGCAAGCATGTTTTAGACAGAG